GGGGTAACTGCCTCTTCTGTCATGTTTCCGTGCAATATGAAATTAGTTCTGCTCAAATGTTGGTTAAATGGTTGTTGTTGGGGTTTTTTTTTACTTCCAACAACTCCCTGTCAGGTCCCTTCGATTTAGTTATTATTTGGTTGCACTTATTATGTTCGGGTTTTTTTTTTCTTCTTCATTTTCTCCTTGTGTGTCAATATGATTCATGGCGCGGGCTTCGGTACCGAGAAAGTGTTAAAAGTTTTACCGTATTGCGAACCCGGAGGACCATTCAAATTTCTCTTAGTATGAATTATTTATGTGTCAAGGGATGTTTCAGTGGTAGTAACGACACGTGCTTCAAGTGCAGTGTCCACAGTATATGTACAATCATGGTTTTAAAAAAGTGTTTTTGTATTATAAATGTAAAATGATGTGTTGGACGTGCGCGCAGAACTAACTGTTCTCACCTTTAGGCTTGCTTTCAGTTTCAGTAGACATAATTTCTTCGCTAAACATTACGCGTAGGTGCTTGGCGGGTGCTGTGGTGTGGTTTGCTCCTTCTTTCATATCAAACATCTATCGTCTTATCTATCCTCCACGTCCCCCGTCTTTTTGTGTTTGTTGCTCTCTTGTTGTAATACCTCTGATCTTCGACACTTATAATATGACCCTATTGTGTTGCAAGTGTCGTAAAACTCTTACTGCGGGTGGTTGGCAGGTGCTTTGGTGTGTTTTGCTCCTTCTTTCCTATCAAAGATCTATCGTCCTTATCTCCTCTTCTTCTTTTTTATATTTATTACTCTCTTCTAACATGCCTCTACTAAAACTAAACTAAAACTCTTACTAAAACTAAAAACATTACGCCCCCAAAAGGCCATCGGCACTGCTTAATTTGACACATCTACTTCGTTCCGCAGATGTTTCTGTAATCAGTTTTTAGTAGCACGAATGCACACTAACGTAAACTGTGGCATTCTGTAGCGTAGTGGCATAACGTGACATGACACTTGAAGAATCACCGTCTCTTGAGGCACAGCCCGTGATAATGACATACCGTGGTAAATTGTCCTACCTAACTGGGCCACAGTTTTCTCTGTTTGGGTGAGGAGGGAGTATGTGACGGTCTACCAATGAAATTCAATTTGAATGATGTAATAGCAAAAATGCTTCTCGCATATAACGTCTATTGTTGTAGGCTTGTAAAACTGTTATGGTGTAGGGAAATGCGATGTTGACTACAAAGCAATGCATTAGTTTTGTTGTGTTGTTAACTTGTCCCTGTTCATTGAATGTTCTGTTATGTGGCTGTTAACACTACGTCTCTTTATTGTGTTGTGTTCTACATTTATTTTCATTTCATGTTAATGAAAAGTGAGTGGTTCAGCTTCAAGACAATTTATATGGTTGGCGGATGCTCTGGTATCGCTTGCTCCTTCTTTCATTTCAAACATCAATCGTCCTTATATCTATCTCCTTCTTTCCTATCAGACATCTATCGTCTTTATCTCCCCTCCTTTTTTTGTGTTTTTTACTCCCTTGTAACATCTCTAATCTTCGGCATTTATATGACCTAATTGTGTTGCAAGTGCCGTAAAACTCTTACGAAAAGAACTGTCCTCCTTTTTTGTGTTCATATCATTGTAAAACCTCAAATCGTTGGCACTCCTTTGACCTAATTGTGTTGCAAGTGCCGTAAACGCCATCAAAATCATAAAACAAGACAATGTATTGATGGGCATAATAAATGTGTTCTAATTGCGTGTGAAAAGGAAAAGACAACAAACAAGCCCCTTCCAAAAAAGAACAGTACAAAAAACTATTTAAAAAAAATAAAAAATAAAAAATAAAACAAGGAATCCCCAAAAAACTAAACAAACAAAAGCAATAAAAACAACACACATAGACGGCGAAAAGCAACAGAGTTGTAATTTTTGCATCACAGGTCCGCCCTCGCTGTCCGGCACTGTGGTTTCCCGGAAAGTTGCCACTCTGGGCAAGACTACACGCCTGGAGTGTCCAGTGGATGGACAAGACCCGGAATTGACCGTATGGAAGAAAAACGGCCAGTCCATCGACCCCGCGTGGGAACGATTTCGGGTCAGTATCTTAACTTGTTGTTATTGTTGTTGTTGTTGTTGTTGTTGTTGTTGTTGTTGTTGTTGTTGTTGTTGTTGTTGTAGTTGTTTTTGTTGGTGGTGGTGTTCCGTGTTACATTTTTTTTCACTGTCATTTATTTTCTGAAATAAAGATAATTGATACTCAAGAGTTTTGCCAAGAGACTGTGGAATCTTGTGTGGTTTTTTCCCAGGCAAAACTTGGGTCATGGTAGTTAGGAACACAGACATAGGAAACAAGCAGAGCAAATTATTGGTTCTGTTTTTTTGGTCTCTTCTATTGAAGTTGTTGCTGTTTATTCAGTATACAACCTTTCACCACATGCTGTTCAGTGTTGTACCGTTTGGTACAGAATATAACTCTTTATAAGTTGTTCCCTTTTGTGGTAGAGGTTGTTGTCTTAGGAGAGTGAGAAGTTAGGGGAAAGAATTGTTGTCGGTGGTCCTGAAGATAAGGGTACTGTAAAAACTGGTGATGGACAGTTGTCTAGGTGATTTACACAAATGTATGTGTAAGTGAGTGTGTGCACATGTTTTGTTTGTTTGTGTTTTGTTTGTTTGTTGAGTGCATGATGAATTGTTCTGTGAGGGATGTGAATCAGTGTGGACTTTTTCCAAGTGAATAACGTTTTGATAGATTGGAGTGTGTATTGGAACCAGGGACTATTTCATAGTATGCGCACAATGAAAGAAATATAAGTCAAACGTGTTACTCTGCAAATTATTTATGTCATAATGTCAGTCGTGTAAATTCAGTTGTTAATTGTTAACAAAATAAGGTATCAAATTGTGAGAATTTTTTTTTTTTCTCCCTTTACTTTTAGGTATCTCGAGAGGGACATTTACGCATTCGTCACACTGAGATGGGAGATGCTGGAAATTATACATGTGTGGCTACCAACGGCTACGGCAGTTTACCTGTCAACTACACTGTTGTTGTTCGTGGTAAGTGTTGTTTGGAAATTTAAGAAGTAGTTTTTGCCTACAAATATTGCACATGCAGGTTCACACACACTTTCCCACTTTGACATATATATATGGGATTCTTATGCAGACCCAGTTACAGACACATGCACACACAACACACATGCACTCACAAATACACACACACGCGCGCGCACACGCACACACACATATGAACACACACACATACACATGAATGCATAGTCACCAAGAGGCATATTTATAGTCTACTTCTCATTATTACATATGCTGGAACTCACAGATAGTGATGCACATACATACACACTAGCACATGTATACATCTGCCACATGACTCGTACTAAATCACAAACTGACACACTGTGACACACATGTATAACTCACATACACATCTGTGTGTTAACATTCAAATTCGCTGACAGAATTAACTC